TGCCTGTTCTGCTCCCCACTCTGTCTCTGGTGAATCCTCTCATACTCCACACCTCTGGACTCTACCCCAGTTCTGTATGCATAAAAAAATAAATCTTTTAGAAAAGGATTTATTTATGCATACAAGAACTTGGGTACAGGCCAGAGATGCAGGTGATGGGAGGATTCGCCAGAGACAGAGTGGGGAGCAGAATAAGCAGTTGGACTGAAACACATTGCTTAAGGGAGCAGTGGGACAGGAGAGGTCTGCTGCACTATGTAGTCACCTCCCTGACTGGGGGATCAAACTCCTGCTACAGTGGCTGTGGATATCTTTATAGTGCTAAGACTTTACCCCTTTCATCACCAGCAAGGCCCTGGTCTGCGCCCCCTCTCCCCCCCCACCATTTTAGAGATAAGGACTGAAGCTTAATATCTTGCCCAAGGTCCTACATCCGTTAAGTAATACAGAAAGATTTGGGCCAGAACAAATCTGGAAGGAGGGCCCAGCCTCCTTCCCTCCAGAACCACTGAGATACCCCTGAGTCCCCACCTGGAAGCTTCCTGGGTGTTCGTGGGGGGAGTACTTTTTTCCATATAGTCCCACAAGTCTCCCACTATGTACCCCTCAAATGGACACCTGCCTAGGGGCTCTCTCCACAGCTTGCTTGCTGATTCATTGTAACTGAGCCCTCTCTCCAGCTGAGTAATCAGATCTGCCCCATTGGCAGCCAGAGAAATCCTCCCTGTGCCTGAAATGGGGCTTGATTGCCTCCTGGGGAAGGGAGGGAGGTCAGGCAGGTGCCTGGAAAGGGGGTGAAGGGCCAGGCCAACGACTGGTCCTGCCTCATAAGTCAGCGGTAGTTAGGATATTTCTTCCTGAGAGTCTGACTCTACCAGTTTCTCCTCCAAAGGGATTCAAAAGCAGGAAAGGTCAATGAGAGCAGCAGGCACAAATAGGATGAGTGGGGGGGGGGTACTATCTCCCCAACAACCTCCAACAACCTGAAATACCAGAGCGAGCAAGCGCATCTTGACCCTACCATAGAACCCCTTCACCCTTCCCCCCCACACACACCCAGAGCCCAGAAATCAGCCCAGCCTCCTCAAGGTGGCTCCACATTCTGAGGATAACACCACCCACATGCACCCTTCCTAGTCACCATGTTGGGGGGCACAGGTAAGGTGCACGTGTGCACACCATAGGGGCGAGGGGCAGATAGGGCTCTGCTGAGTAAAGACTCCTTAACCCTGGCACTCTTCCCCTTGAGTGAGTCAGCTACTGGGTCCTTCTACCGCTGCCTGGGGCATGGGGTGGGTGCCCTGGCAGCATCTGTGCAGACTGAGAGATGACTTTGTTTAGTGTCCACTGTCTATGCAAAGGACTGGCCTCTCTCAGAGGCTTCAGCCTGTCTGTGTATGTGTGTGAGAGAGTGTTAGCATGTATGTGTTAAGAGTTTGTGTGTGTGGTCATTTTGTGTGTTCAGGATGAATATCTGATGCGTAGTTAGTGTGTGTCCACAGTTACTATGTAAGGCTGTGATGTTTCTTGACAAGTAATGAGACTCACCAGTGACCACAAACACACCCTGTCTCAGCATATATCCTGCAATGGACACACGAAGTCTGTAGACTTACACTAGAGCACGAACACACACTTTTGTTCCATGGATCCATGCTGAACATTTTACAGATGAATCCTGCCTTGGGTTGGCTTGGAGTTGGGTTCTGAGCCCTCTCCCCAGATGGCTATGAGAAAGCCATCTCCCCAGCCCCTTGACTGTACCCAAGGGAAGCTGCAGGCTCACAGCACCTGGTTGGACCCCCAACCCTGCAGATAGGCCCTCCCCACAGGAAAGTCCCCCAGGAGACTCAGCCTATTTCCCAGCCCGGCGGCAGGCGGGTCTCAGTCCACGTCCCCGCCCCCCTTCCCAGTCTTGAGAAGGCATCACTGAAGCCCAGCTGCAAGCCCAGACTCCAGACAGAGCGTGCACACAGGCCACAGACACACACTAGTCCCTCCAGAGGTCAGGGCCAGAAGGGCCTTCACCCGACCTCGTGTGTCCTTGGACCAGTGTATCATCGGGGTGTCTGCTGGAATGGTGTGTTTGTGCGCATTTGCACGTTCGTGGGGCCGAGGGTTAGCGCTGCTGGAAGTGTGTGTGGAGTCGTGGGCCCGGCTAATGTGTGATGGCTGTACTTTTACTGCAGTGCAAGGGGGTGATAGGGAGACCGCGGCGTACTTTTACTGCAGTGCAAGGGGGTGATAGGGAGACCGCGGCAGAGCTTTGCGCCTGGAAACGTGTGGCTGTGGCTGCGTCGCCCGGCGCCCACCCCAGCTCTGGCTTCTCCGGCGCCCACGGTCCATTCACCCGGCTGGGAGCGGCGCGGCCGCCCGCCCCGGGGAGTGCCCGCCCCCTCCGCCCGAGTAAACTTTTCCCAAATCCCCGAGCCGCTTAGGGCGAAGCCGCCCCCGCGGCCTAATCCGCGCCCCCTGCGGATCTGCATAATCGGGTTAGCGGCCGCGCTCCCTCCCGCTCCCGCCGCCGCCGCCGCGGCGCGCGATTCTCTCGCTGTCACTTAGGGAGGCTCAGCGCGATTTGCGGCCTAATCCCCCGGGATCGCTCGGCCGCCGCTCCCCGAGGGGCCGCCAGATTGTTCCCTTCATAATTGATTGACTCTATTTGCCGGATTGGGACTTCAAAGCGCCGGCGGCGCGGGGGCGCCTGGGAAGGAGCGGGGCCCGCGGCGGGTCGCCGGGCCGTCGGGGCGGAGGCCCTGCCCCGGAGCGCGCCTTCTGCCCCGCCGCCCGCGCCCGGGGCCAGGCGGTGGGAGCCCGGGAGGGCGAGAGCGGCGCGGACGACGTCGACCTTGTCACCGCCGCCACTATTGAGGCCCTTGGGCCTCTTGAGCCCGCCTTTAAATCCCCCTTGGAACCTCAGAGCCGGCGAGTATGGACGCTCCTGTCGGTCGTACAGGCGCGAGGAAAGAGGTTCAGGAAGATTTCCTGGCCTCCGAACACCAGTGCCCAGCACCGTTGTTTTCAGGCCTGGGAATCCAGATGTCTCAGAGCTGACCCACCTCTGCCTCCAGATGAAAGGTGACTCTAGGGAGGAAGGCAGGTGCACACATAGAGAAGAGTAGATAAATACATGGACAGAAATTTAGGCTAAGTGCTGTGATGGTGACTTGGGTGGGAGATGAACTACACTGCCTGGTCAAGGAAGGCTTCTTAAGGAGTTTTAGCTGAAAGCTGAATGCTAAGGAGGAAGGTGCATGGACCCAGGTGAAGCTGGAGGCCCGAGAGGCAGGTGGGAAGGCCCCAGTGTGGAGCAGGCCACCAGCAAGTGAAAACTGAGAGTGAAGCTCAGGGCAGCCTGGCTCCAAAGTCCGGAGGCTGAAGTCCCTCATTGCCTTCTCTCTGCCCAGACTAGACTGAGCCTCAGCCTGGCCACAGAAATGGCCAGGCCCCCTGGCACAGGCACCTGTCCAGTGCTGCCTGGCCCACCCACCCCAGCTCCTGGATGGGCTGTCAGTGCCAGTGCCTTAGTGGCCCACATCCCATTGATCAGACACTGCCTTAGTGGGCATCCCTGCGCCCAGAGCCTTTCTGTAATTAAGGTCTGTTGCTCCCTAACTCCTGAAGAGGCAGTGAGGAAGCTGGAGGGGCCCCACAATCACCCGCCATAGCCAAGCTCCCAGGAATCCAGGGCCCAGACTTGGGAATCCCCAGAAACGCTTAATTAATTCTTGATTACCCACTGTCTCTGCAGCTGCCATTAACTACCTCCCCAGCCTGGGCCCAGTAAGGCCATGTAATTAAATTAGTGCAGGAGAATACTTCCAGGCAGAAGCAAGGTACTCCTACTGGGCCTCTGAGAAGTTCTCGGAGGCTGATGAGGAAAGTCTTCAAGTCACCAAAGGGAGCATCCAGGCCTAAAATGGGACTCAAGTGTAACTCCCTGATACTAATTCTGGTCCCTCATCCTACCCCTCTTGAGCCCTCTACTCTCAGCACATATTTTAAACCTTAAATATCTTTAAAATGACAAGAGATTTGCTGCTGTCCTTAATTCAATTTATGCCAAATTCATCGAGCTTTTGGAGGGACGGATTTGGGACAAGGGATGTGAGACTGGATTTCCAGGGTATAGGAAACAGGAGACAAGGGGTTTGCAACACAGGGGCCTCTGCCACCTTCAGGGACAGAGGCATGGGGGTAAAGGACATGAGTCATCATCCTACTGGTAGAGAGGTGGCAGAAGGAGAACAGTGGGGAAAAATGAGGGCTGAGGCTCTGTAGAGAGGAGCTTCCTTGGGGGAAGGAGGTGAGATATTTTCCTTTTTAAAAGAAACAAAAACAGAGAAAATAACCTAAAAGAAGACCCTTAAGGTGAAAGTATATGCGCCAATAAGCAAAGACAGAAGAGCCTGGAAATTTGGGTCTCTACACAGTAAGCAGGGCAGAGCTGGGCCTATTCTGTCACATCCCAACAGCCAAGCTTCCCTCCTGTATCAGTCCCTCCCTCAATCCTGGGAGAGCTAGATGACAGCCCTCCCTCCCCCCAAACCCAGCTTCTTGTCACTTCAGAAAATCAGAAATAAGCCTTAGTGATTAGAGGGAGACGAGAGTGAGATGGGGCTTAGAGGCCCAGGCTCAGGGAAGTGTTAAGAGGCGAGTGGGACTCAGAGTATTAGGGGGGCAGAGCTAATAGCTTCTCTAAATGTCCCTCCCCCAAAGAGTATATAGTCCCTAGGAGAGGAGGGAGGAGAGAGGAGAGGAAGGCTTGAGAAGAGGGAGTGGGAATGAGAAGATGAGGAAGGGGGAAGGAAGAAGAGGCAAGAAAAGGGAAGAGTGAGAAGAAGGGAGAAGAATGAGAAAGTCAGACAGGAAGGAATTGAGAAAGAGGAGAAAGAGAGACATGGCAGTAAGGGAGAGATGAAGAGAGAAAGCAAACAAAATAACAAGTTGTCATTCTCCCTTTGGTTGAAAAATACTAATGATGTTAAAAAAGATAATACCCAGTGCTGATGAAGTAGAAGGAAATAGGGACTTAGGGGTACAGAAAGACTTGGAGGTCCAGGAGGTAGATGGTATTTTGGCAATCATTATTAAAATTGTAAATGATATCAACTGGGGCCATAGAAGGCATGTGTCCACTTCTAGGCATGTGTCCCATAGAAACCCTTACCTCTGTGTACAGCAGCACATAGCCAGAGTTGGCTGCTGCAATAGCACTTTGTCATTGCCAAATATGGCAACTCACCCATCCATCAAGAAGGATTCAATACATTATGGTGCAGCTATGTGGTGGAGTATTACATACCCACGAACACAGAAGAGCTAGATCTGAGTGCACTGACATGGAAAGATGTATAGAAGAGGTCATTGAACAGGATGAACAGTAGAGTCCCAATCTGAAATGTAAAAAAATAATAATAATACTTAAAACTATGTAGTCTATGTGTGTAAGTAAGTGTGTAGAATCAAATGTCTAGAAGGAAGGAAAACCCCTAAATTCCTGACAGTGACTTTTCACTTCATATTCTTCTGCTTTGTTTTCACAGTGAGGTTTTCTTTGAAGCTCATGGTAATTTTATATATATAAGAATAAATAATGTTTGTCTTAAGATGAGGAAGGAAAGGAGAGAGCAGCAAAAAGGAAGGAAAGGGTAGGAGAGAGCAGTTTGGCACAGACTGGCTGGGACAGGAACAGTTGCTTAGGATGGTGGTGTTTGACCCATAGGACAATGGGGGCTACCGCCCACAGAGTACCCTAGTGTCCACATTCCTTACCCTTGTCCCATCATGAAAAGTCTGGCTGAGACCTGAATAATTGAAGGCTAATTGGGTTTTAGGCTTGTTAATGCTCCTGCAAATGTTTGCACTGAGGAGAGCCAGTCGATCCGGATAAATGACTCCCGGTGGGTCTTGGTGGGGGGAGACACTGAGGAGGGCAGTCTTTATGGATGGTGAGCAGGGAAATGGAATTTTTTAGCCCACTCCAGGGTGTGTATGTAGATGGCAGAACAGGAGATGGGCACTTGGGAAAGCTGAGGTGCCCCTGGACTTCTGTGGGGAGGAACAGAGAGGCCGGTCTCTAGGATTCTGGGGGGCAGCAGGCAGAAAGCCCGGACTTCAGTCCCAACCTTCCAGATGGCAGGTGGGGATCGGGGTTCCAAAGGGAATAAGGAGATCGGTCTACCTAGCAGTGATGGACCGTGGTGGGCAGGGCACAGGGCCTCTTTCCACATCAGGAACAGGGCATTTTTCTCACAGAGATGCTGTCCCTTTTAGGACTATTTCCTAGAGTGGGCAAAGGTCCAGGCCTTTTATACCCCCAGAGCATCTTCAGGCCCCTTACAGCCCTTCCTCCCAAATTCTCCATCAGGAGGCCTCCTCAGGAGCTGTCCAGCAAGGAGGCAGCTGGCTGCCTGTGCTGAGGGCCTCTGAGGCTCCCGTTTGCTCTCCCGTCAATGACTGCAGCTGACTGCTGACTGTCAAACCTCAAGGAGACTCTGTGACTCTGGGGTGAATGTGCTGGCAGCTGGGAAGGGCCAAAGGGTGGCCTCTCTCTTCCCCTGAAGAGCCCAGATGATGCAGAGGAGGCACCATGAAGGGGAATCTGGCCCAGGCAGCTATGTGCTTGGGGGACGATGCTTGAAGAACATGAAAGTGTTTGTTTTTCAGAGTTGCTGCTTGAGGGAGCTCCTTCGCTATAGGAGCTGGAAATCCCGATTCCCTCCCAAGGAACCCAGGATGAGGCCCTTCCACGAATAACTACGCCCACCCTCCATAATCCCGTTCTCTTCTCCAGGGGTCAGAAATTCAGGATGTGCTTTTAAAGGATCAGCTGCACATTTGTTCCTTCGCCTCCTCCTCAGGCCTGACCTAGGGACTCGGGCCCCTGTGACAAGGCAGGGAAACGTTTAATGAGTTTGTATTCCCTGCGAGCACGGTGACTGACAGCCGCCTGGGGGCCGCCACTCTTCTTGTCCTGGAAGAGGCTGCGGCAGCTGCTGGGTCCCGTGTGCATGTGAGTGTGCATGGAGACCCCGGTGTATGTGCACCTGGGGCTGGACTGGAGAGGGGCTGGCCAGGGACGCCCTTGCTGTGACCAGAAACCACTGTGAGTGTTTGGGGGAAAGGACAGGACTTGGGGGACCACTGCCCTTTCTGGGGGGACCTCTAGCCACAAGCCTCCACCCTCGACCTAGTCTCCTCAGGTCACCCTCTACACACTCAGCCAGGCTGGCGGGAGGGAGGCCTGAGGCTGCCCACAGTGGGGTTTGAAGGAATGGGGGGCATGGTCGATGGGAAGGCCTGAGTCTGCATGGGTAATGAGGTCTGGGACTGGCTTGTCAATAGCATTTAAGTACTTTTCTCCCATTTTCAGGCCAGACTGAATTATTTATTCGTTTCTGGTCAATTGCTGGTAATGTCATTAGCATTTGTCCATCAAGAGTAGGGCACAGAATGGGAGTGGTCCCTTCCCACTGACCCCTATACCCCAAACTGCCTCTCATAGGTTAATCTGTCCCGTTCCCTGTCCCTAGTCTCAAGCTACTCTAGGACCAAGATTTCTCAGACCCTTCATCCAGAAAGTTCTCTCTCATACATCATGGCTGAGAGTCAGTGGAGCTCAGGAGTCAGGGCATGAGCATCCTTCTACCACCGCCCCCCAACTATTAACTTAGAAACCAGCCCACCCACATTCAGGAATCACACTGGCCAGTTGACTCTTGGAGGGTGGGTCAAGTTTGGCAAGCGAAGACCTGGATGGATGGTACAGCGGAGGGACACAGGGACCCAGCAATCTGGGTGGTGGCACCCTACCTCATCTCTTGGTCCAGAGATCAGTCTGCTTCCTTGCAATCAGCTGCAAACACTGGCCCTTCTTTCCCCTGACATAGACTCCCAGTCCAGAGTTCTGCTTTTCCCGTCAGACCAGAGTGACCTGCCTCCTTCCTCAGTTTAAGCTCCCTCCTTATAAGCTCCTCAGACAGACTCCCCCTTTTAGTCCAGAGTCCCAGACAGGGTCTCAAGGA